CAAATAAATCTCTTCACCATCCATACTGATGCTGCCAATTGGCCCAGTGGTGAGAATCTTTGTTTTCTTGATGTTGAGCTTCAATCCATATTGGAGGCTGCAGTCCTTGAACTTCTGCAGCAAGCACTTAATAATAAAAAAATACAAAGCCAGGATTTTTAAAAAAATAGATCAATGGTAATTATATGAAATAGAGTGTATATAAGTGATTATATGAAACACAATATAAATGAGAGATTGTATGGAATACAATGCATATAAAACAAAATGTAAATGAATTATTATAAAATAATTATATAATAAAAATATTTTGAAAAGAGAAAGCTAGGCTGAATAGTGACCAGTGACTGACCAGTGGTCACAGGTCAGTGAACTCTGACCTTACACCCTCTTGACCTCAGATCCAGTCCTACTTGTTGCTCCACCAGGACCCTCTCTCTTGAGGAGGAGCCAGAGTTTGAGGTGCCATAATCTGTCCCTCAAATGACATAACTTTAAAAAACATATTTGCAAATAAGGATTAATGAAGTGGACAGCTTAATGACAGAACTTTCCAGAAGACTTTGAGCCGTTTTCTGTGAAAAACATTGTCAGTACCAGGGCACTGTCTCAGCTCCTCTTGGTAACTGGCAGATCAGTGTGATCCTCAGCCAGGTTTGCTCCCTGAGCTGAGAATGGTGCCTTCAGGCCATCTTAGCCTATATGAGTTTGTGGATAATTACCTAGAATATTGGCTTGACAGGCATTCAAGAAATCCAATCACAACTCAATTGAGTAAGCTGTTATTGTTTGTTGTGTACTATAGAGTCAGAACCGACCCATAGCTGACCCTCTGGTGGGTTTTCAGAGGCAGTTAATCACATGGGAGGAGCAGCTGGTGGCCTCAAACCGTGTGCCTTCGGGATTGCAGTACACCTTCTTGCCACTAGACTACCAGGACTTTTATTAAGCAGTTTTGCAAAGTCAGGCGCCCAAGCCCACATGATACAGCAGCCTGATGTGCTTTGTGCTTTTTACAGTCCGCCTAGAGTTTTTATCCATTCCCTGAATCCTCATTAACTTGAGTATTATGGAGTATACATTCTTTTCTGCAAAATGCTTAAGTCTTTTTTTTTTTAAAAAAAAAAAAAAGAAAAGAAAAACCAGCGAGCTCTGGTGGCCTAGTGGCAAGAAGCTGCACTGCAATCCTAGAAGTACGCGGTTCGAACCCACCAGATGCTCTGCTGGAGAAGGAGGGACAATCTCCTCTTGTACCAGTCAGATCTGATTTGACGGTACACACACACAAAATAATAAAAATAACATAAAAAAATTATTTTTAAAAAAAAGAAAAACCAAAACCACAAAAAACCAAAAACAACCACCAAAGAAACAGAGCCATTTTCAGGGACCTTATTGATCTTAATTATCCTTAGAATTGTAACAAGGCTTTAATATTGTTGTTGGTGTTGTTATTTGCCGTTGAGTCGCTTGCGACTCATAGCGACCCTATGTACAGCAGCCCTAAACTCTGCTCTGTCCTGTGCCAAACGCACTGCCTCTGACAAACCCATCCCGATTATCCCAGTCACTGAATCAATCCATCTCATAGAGGGTCTTCCCCTCCTGCGCGTCCCTCTACCCTCCCTACCAAGCATGATGTCCCTCTCCAAGGACTGGTCTCTCCTTACAACATGTCCAAAGTATGTTAGATGGAGTCTCAGAATCCTTGCCTCCAGGGAGCCGTCCGGTTTAACCCTTTCCAGGATGAATCTGTTTGTTTTCCTGGCAGTCCATGGTACCCTCAATATTCTTCTCCAGCACCACAGCTCAAAGGCATCGATTCTCCTTCTATCCTCTCTAGTCATTGTCCAACTCTCTGATCCATAACAAGTGATTGCAAAGACCATGGCCTGTATCAGATGCACCTTAGTCTTCAGAGAGACAACATTGCTCTTCAGTACTTTGGAGAGGTCCCTAACAGCAGACTTTCCCATGGCAATACATCTTTTAATTCCCTGGTTACTGGTGCCAAGGGAGTTGACTGTGGAGCCAAGTAAACTAAAGCTGTGAACAATCTCAATCTCTTCACCATCCATCCTGATGCTGCCAATTGGTCCAGTGGTGAGAATATTTGTCTTCTTTTTTTTATTTTTCGTTTTATTTTTGTGTGCGTGTACCGTCAAATCAGATCTGACTGGTACAGGAGGAGATTGCCCCTCCTTACCCGGCAGAGCATCTGGTGGATTCGAACCGTGCACCTCTGGGATTGTAGTTGCAGCTTCTTGCCACTAGGCCACCAGAGCTCCCCTTATTTGTCTTCTTGACATTGAGCCTCAATCCGTATTGGAGGCTGCAGTCCTTGACCCTCTGCAGCAAGCGCTTCAGGTCCTCTTCAGTTTCAGCAAGCAGGGCTGTATCATCTGCATAATGCAGACATTAATAAATCTTCCACCAATCTTGACCCCACATTTCTCCTCATAGAGCCCAGCCTCCTGGATAATCTGTTCTGCATACAGGTTGAAAAGGTATGGAGACAGGACACATCCCTGGCATATACCCTTCCCAATTTTGAGCCATGCAGTGTTCCCTTGCTCTGTTCTGACGACTGCCTCCTGGTCCAAGTATAGGTTTCGCATTAGAACGATCAAGTGTTCTGGGATTCCCATTCTTCTCAGAGTCAGCCACAGTTTGTTATGATCCACACAGTCAAATGCCTTTGCATAGTCAATGAAACACAGACATTCTTCTGGTATTCCCTGCTTTCAGCTAAGATCCATCTAACATCAGCTATAATATCCCTTGTACCCCAACCCCTTCTAAACCCAGCCTGGACTTCTGGCAGTTCTCTGCTGATGTGCTGTTTCCAGTCATTTTTGGATAATCTTTAGTAGAATCTTGCTTGCATGTGAAATCAATGATATTACCAGCTTTAAAAATATTTCTGCAAAACCATATACAGGTCAGCAGAGTAAACAGCTGGCTAACTCTTAAGTCTTATCTCCTTTATTATAGCCCCTTCTGTCCTTCCCTCCTTATCCCCTTATCCTATTTGTGTACTGTTAAAAACAAAACAAAACAAAACAAAAAACCAAAAAACACAAAACCAAACAACAAAAACAGCAGCCCTGTTTTCCCACCTACCAAACTACCCTTCTAGGCAGTCAGTAAAAAGTCACTCATTCCTGGTTTCTCTTCTAGTTTGTTGTCCAAGATTTTTATTCCTAACAAGGAGGGCCATTGCCTCCTAACATCACACACACACTTTCTTTCTCTTCCAGCATTATGTGAAGTCCCATCCTGTTTTCTCCACATCATCAGAATGGTGGTGTTAAATAGGCTTGCCACCCCTTGTAGAGCATCTCTAGTATAATTTATGAACCTTTGGTTGTAGCCGACACTTGGTTCCAAGCATGGCCTGAATCAGGTACATCTTAGCTCTCAAACGGACATCATCGCTCCTTAATAATTTGGAGAGTTCGCTGACTGCAGAATTTTCCACTGCAGTACATTTCCTGATATCCTGACTGCTATTATCAAGTGTATTGATTGTGGATCCAAGAAAGATGAAGTCATTGACAGTTTCAGTCTTTCTCCATCTATCATGATGTTGCCTGGGTTCTCTGGGTTGTCAGGTAGCTAGGATTTTTGTTTTCTTAAGATGCAATCCAGACTAAAGTCTGCAGTCTTTGATATTTTAGAGTAATGATCCATATACCCAAATAGTTATTAGGATGATTGTTGATCCAAAGTGGCTGGGGTCTTGACGGACAGTAATAAAGGGTTGCACTCTAACTTGTTATGGTTGAAATGGATACATTTTAAAAAGTGTATCTTTTCATTCTTTCTAGGAGTTTGAGGATGACAGACTGTATGTTTATCCCCCAGGCTTGGTTGTCCACCATATATTCCTTAACAAGGACACAGGGATGCAGCAAATCCTTCTTTGGTCAACTTATCAGCGTCTTCTTTCGGGACACTATTTCCCTGATCTCCTTAGACTCAGCCTTTCTTTGCTCTGTTCTGACAACTGTTTCCTAGTACAAGTTAAAATTTCGCATGAGTACAATCAAGTGTTCTGGGATTCCCATTCTTTTCAGAGTCAGCCACAATTTGTTGTGATCTACACAGTCAAATGCCTTTGATTAAACACAGATAGACATTCCTTTGGTACTCTTTGCTTTCTACCAAGATCTATCTGACATCGGTGATAATGTCTCTAGTTCCATGACCTCTTCTAAACCCAGCTTGCTATTTCTGGTAGTTCTCTGTTGATGTACTGCGTGACTGTGGATCAAGTACACACTTAATAGTTTGGAAACACAGTTACGCATGTCTATGTCTTGGACATTTGAAGTAACTTTCTGTTTCCATGTTGTTTGTAGTAGAATTATTTCTTAAAGGGAAATGCTGCCTCACCTTGGTCCTCCTGGCAGAATGATGTGCACACTCTAAGCTTTTTGAAGGTGGTAATCCATATTCTGTAGTCGGTTTGCTAGGTACTGTGAAAAGTTAAAAATTTGAATGAGTACACTACTGTGTGTTATATTAGAGTGTGACTTAACAGGCCTTAAGATGTAAAAACATACCACCAATTAAAGAGATTGGTATTAATAGCCTCTTAAGGAAAATTGCCTCCAGATTTTAAACTAGAAAGAACTTTTGGAATTTATAAAATAATTTTTATATTTTTATTTTTAACTTTTTACATTTTTGGTACAAACACTAAGAACTGTATTATGGAGTATTATGCAACACTGAAAAAAAAATAAGGAATTCCCTAAATACTACACAACCTGGTTGTATCTAGAAGACATTACACTAATTGGGGGAAAAAAACTCAGTCACAAAAGGACAATGATTTTATAAGAACAGTTTTGTCAACAACTTTGGAAGGGGTTGCAAATTCTTGTGTTTTTTTACCAGGGATAGGAAGCTAGCCAGAAAAAATTTCAAAACTCCTAAACAGCTAATGGGCACATGTAGTTGGATGAAGGGAAAAGCCATAAACAGTAAGGTCTGAGGAAGACACAGAGCTGTAAGAGGATGAATGGAAATCAGAAGTACTGAAAGCAAGTGGAGGACAGTGGTTATATTCTGGGTAGTGGAATTGATGCCGTGCAACAAAATGTGTTTGAATGTTGCTGTTGTTAAGTGCCGTCAAGTTGTAGACGACTCATAGTGACCCTATGAACAAAATACCTGAACACTTGTATAACATTTCTCGTTTCTCCACGTTCATGGAGTTCCAGAGGCAAGCCATTTCAGAAGTGGATACCACTCCTTCTTCCAAGCTTGTTTTAATTGGGGAGCTCCACCAAACACTGTCCACCATGGGTAACCATTATCGCATTTGACACATCAGTGTCACAGTGTTCAGCATCACAGCAACCACGAGTTACTTCTGTACAGCAAATGGACAGACCCATGCTATACCTATACCGCTTAGAAGAATGTTTGACCAAAACCAATTAAAACCAGGTCTGAGGGCCGCAGACCCGAGGGCATAACTGCGTTTTTAAATAGGAGGCCAATCACATCATCTCATACCCATTAGAGAGTCAACATTCCATCCTAATCCTCACAAGGAGCAAACAAGCCTCTGTATGTAAAATCCGGCTGCTGCAGACGACTTCCAAACTGGATTCCAAGCCCCATACTGCTGGCCAAACACATTTTTTAAATAGGAGGCCGAATCAATTTGCTTTGTAAATCTTTACTCAAACCATCAAATAACTATTACAAAGAGATTTGTGTACAAATTGTTCATATAGTCTTTATGTTGTTGTGGTGGTTGTGTGCCATCGAATTGGAACTGACCCATAGCTGACCCTTCAGAGGGTGTTCAAAGGCATTTAGTCAGACAGGAGGAGAGTTCCCATCCTTCTCCCACGGAGCAACTGGTGGGATTTGAACCGTATGCCTCCTGGATTGCAGCACAACTTCTAACCACTAGGCCACCAGAGCTTTCTAATGTCTTTACACTGATTCTCAAAATGAAATGTCAGCCGTCTAGGAAACAACACCGTGAACCCTAAAACCCAGCCGTGTGGTGTGTTTGTCACTCACTAACCTGTGGCTCTGCCTTCATTCCCTTGTAGGTGGTGATCCCTTCTCTCGTCCCTCTGGGTAGCCCTCGCTTGTGTCATCCTGTGTCTGCTGTGGCCCTGGGGCCCCATAGAGCTGTGATCCCTGCCCACAGGCCCTGAGCTGAGTGTGGAGGCCCCAGCAGAGACAGTAAAGATGACCAGGTCCAAAACCTTCCAAGCTTACCTGCCCAACGGCCACCGCACATACAGCTGCATCCACTGCAGGGCTCACCTGGCCAACCACGATGAGCTTGTCTCCAAGGTAATTGGTTGCCCGGACTGCAGCCGAGGCATTCAGACACTATAATATGGTGCCCTTTGGGATCGAAGCTGGCTGAGTTCTAAAAGTCACTGCAACCTTGATCTTGAGCTTGCACAAATTTTGGTGGGATTTTTGTCATTTTTTCCTGTTCTTACTTGGTTAAGGAATACCTAATGGACTAGTCCTAGTTGGGAGCTTTGGTGGCCTAGTGGTAAGGAGTTGCTCTGCCAGCCTGAAAGCAAGCAGTTCAGATCCACCAGCTTCTCTGTGGTAGAATGATGGGCAACCTTCTCCCATGAGATTTACTGTTTCTGAAAATTTGCCAGAAGGTCAGCCACAACACCATCACCTGATTTAGGAGTGCTAGTGGCCTAGCCTGTAGGGAGTTGAATTAAAAAGCTTTATCTCTCTGGCAGTTTGAATTCATCAGCAGGAGTAAGATGGGTGGTCTCCTTCTGTGAGATTTAGAGCTTTGGAAAGCCCCCCAGAAGATAGACTGTGAGTCAGTTTTGACCCAAGGGCTGTATCCTAGTTGAGCCCTGGGCACTCTCTCTGCCTGTCATTATCTACAGGGTGGCCCCCAGCCACACTGACATCCATCCCCCCAAAATGCACAGCTTACCCATCCCAAGATGCACCACCCATGACCACTTCATGGCCATGAAGCATCTGATGGTGAAACTCTCTGCTTCGTTGCAGTCCTTCCAGGGGAGCCAGGGCCGGGCCTACCTCTTCAACTCCGTGTGAGTACTCATGACTCATGTCCCCAGCTGTGCAGATGTGGTCACCTCACCCTCAGACATGGCTGCTTGCTCCGTGGCCCTCTGACTGTTGAGTCTTCCAGGCAGCCAGACCCTCTCTTCTCTTGAGTTCCATTACACACATTATTTCCTGTACATCATTTCCTGTTTTGGTTCTTTATCCTCAGCCACGTTGCCCCATCTCCTCACTACTCTCCCCATCCTGGGATTTTCAGATAGATTCCCACAGAGAGGGTGGGGCAGTGAAGGGTGAGACTGAAGAAATGCCTCTGGCCTTCGGAAAGGTCCAGTTTCTAGTTGCCAATTGATGTGGAAAATCAGGGCCTCTGGCTGGAGGCAGGTGACAGCAGGGCAGCTGGAGGAGGAGTCCTGTCCCCAAGTCTCCCACCTGCACCCAGCGCTGTGCATTCTCCCCGCAGAGTGAATGTAGGCTGTGGTCCAGCAGAGGAGCGCATTCTCCTGACTGGCTTACATGCGGTCGCCGACATCTATTGTGAAAACTGCAAAACCACCCTGGGCTGGAAATATGTGAGTCCCTTCTGGCTGTAGCATGTTGCCTAGCATTCTCACAGTCATAGGATGTGTCACGAATATACTCACTGTGTCAGTCCATCTGGTCGAGGGTCTTCCTCTCCTTCATCGACCCTTTGCCTTTCCTAGCATGATGTCCCTCTCCAAAGAATAGCCTCTCTCATCCTCTCCCAAAGTATGTGAGATGAAGTTTCGCCATCCTTGCCCTCAAGGATTACTTTCTCCAAGACATTATTTGTTCCTTTGGCATTCTATGGGATACCCAGCACTCTTCTCCAACACCACAGCTCAACCACATGGATTGACACAGTGACTGCAGCCATGGATTCGAGTGTGTCAGAGACTGTAGGGATGGCACAGGATAGGTCAGAGTTCAGATCTGTTGTTCATAAGAGTTGCTGTAATGGCACCTAACAATATCAACAGTGGGCTCAAAGTTAGTTGTGGAGAACTCAGTCCCCCCGAAGCATGGATCACATGTGAGGCCTGCCTATGTCCTCAGCACTTTAACTGTAATGCAGCTGTCTCCATGGTGTCACTCCTCTTCTGCTCTGAGCCTCTGACACAACAGCCAAGGCCCCAGCTCCCCAGCTTAGCCACACTCTCAACCTAGCGGGAAAGTAGAGAGGGGCTTTTCACCTTGGGCTGGCCCTGTGCTTGTTGGTGGTCGCCTCAGATGGGGGGAGTTCCAGAAGGGTCACCTTCCTCTCAGCACCCCCTCAGCCACCTTACACAAACAGTCCCAGTCCCCTCACTTGATCATCGTCCCCCACAATTCAGTCACTCCCCATGGGCCCCCCACTCTGGGCAGTGATACTTGCTGGAAGGCACAGAGAATACACTGCAATGTGGGTGCATACAGTGGGATCTGAAAATGAAGTCTGACTGGCCCTAAAGACTCTCTCCCCCTCTTCCTTTCAAGGAGCACGCCTTTGAGAGCAGCCAGAAATACAAGGAAGGAAAGTTTATCATTGAGCTCGCCCACATGATCAAGGACAACGGCTGGTAGAGGGGCAGCTGTGTTCCCAAAGACTGGTTGGTGAGACTGGATGACAAGCCACCTTCTCGGACAGTGTAGGGGACTGTTCTCCACAGCCTGTGGCCCCATCCCACTGTGTCAGGCTCTCCCATCTCCTCTCCATGTCCGTGGTGGTTCCTGGTTCTCCAGAGACCATTTTCTAACTTCCCAAGTTCTAGAAAGAATTAACCAGCCAAAGACTCCCGTCTGGCCAGCATCTTCTTGCAGCTCGGCCCATCACCTGAACGCTGTGTGTCTTTGTGTCCATAGATGCCCCTCTGCTGAGGCTGTGCAGGGGTCCCTTATTCGGGTATTGTTGTCCTGATATTATTTTTAAAGCCACAAAACTCCCATGTTGCATATTCCTCTTACAGATGGACTTTTAGGAGTGTATTGGTCAGTTAGGAACCTCTATGAGGGGACAGTCCATTTTCACACTGAGGCCTTTTACAGCCTTATTCAAGACTGTAGACAAGTCACAGATAGACAGGTGAGTGCTGAACAGGTCTCAGACAGAGGATCCAGTGCTGTGCAGGCCATAGATGGACAGTCAGTACTGGACAGGCTGTCCATGGAGGAGTCAGTGATGGACAAGCCACAGATTGAAGGGTCAATGCTAGTCAAGTCACAGATGGAAGGTCAATGCTGGACAGGTCACAGATGGAGCATCCGTACTGGACAGATTGCCCATGGAAGGGCCAGTAATGGGCAGGCCATAGATGTAGGGTCAGTATTGAAGGGCCAGTAACGGACAGGCCATGGATGGAGGGTCAGTATTGTGTAGGCCATCCATAGAGTGTTGAGTGCTGGACAGGCCACAGATAGAGGGTAAATGCTGGCAGGCCACCCATGGAAGGGGTCAGTGGTGGACAGTGGGAAGATGGTCAGTGCTAGAAAGGTCACAGATTGAGGGTCAGTGGCAGAAAGAGCATAGATGGAAGGTCAATGCTGAACAGGGTGCGGATGGAGGACCAGTGGTGGACAGAGGGGAGGTAGAGGGTCAGTGCTGGACAGGCTGCAGATGGAGGGGGTCTGGGTGAGTGTCTTTTTAAGCTGCTGGGCCCCTCTCATGAGGGAAAAACACAGAAGTGCTCAAGTGCCAGGGCCACCCCCCCTTAGGGTGATAGTCCCACCTCACTCCACACAGTGTCTGCTCAGCTGTCCCTGGACACAAAACAGGCTTTGCCAGGCGAGCAGCAAGCACTTCGGCTCAAGGACAGTGCCTGAGAGCCAGCTGGCTTTAACATTGTTCAGAAAAGGTGAAAAGTCTGGTTTATTATTGAGGCTGTCCAGCTTGCCCTGTCCCCAAGTCAGCGAGCAGAGACCTAAGGTGCTCCAAGGTGGAAGTCACGGCTCCTCACAGGTGCCCAGTGGCTCTACAGGTGGTCACGAACTTATCCACTGCAGGCATAGGGCAGGAAGATGACCTGGGGTAAACCAGTGAGAAATGCAGTTGTTTACCAGGCAGGGAATGAACACTGCGGCCAGAAGCCTGGTGTGGACATTTTCCCACACCCAGAGCAGGGCTGTGTGAGTGCTGGTCTTTGACCCCTAGAGCCTCTGACTCCTCAGTGGCCCATCTCTGGTCCCTGAGCCTACTCCCACCCTGTGGGCTAGCTGAACTCTCCCAGGGAGGTTTACCTCTGTCCAGATCTTAAATTTTAACTTGTGGGGGACCCCCACTCAGCCAGTGGTTGTGGTCTCAATCCAAGGCCGTCTCTCCTGTGGACTACCACACAGTCAGACCTGGCCTTGGTTCTTGGTTCAAATTTGGCAGCTGAAGGCACCTGACAAAGGATTTAATACTTGACCAAGTGGAAGTCTAATGTAAGCTGAGGTTTACATGCGTGTCCCCTGGTTCTCTGACACCAGAGTCCAGGCTGGGCTGGGGACTCTGGGAAATGAAGTGGCCTTCACGTTCTGCTCTATACCCCTAAGATGGTTCTCTCAGAGTGAAGATAATCTTTCATGACCAAAATATTTAAAGTTTTGGTTTTTTTAAAATACTCTGGACAAGCTTGGTTTTTAAAAACTGGTTTATTTACAAAGTTCAAATACATTGTTTTCCACACTGCATCTCATTTCCTCCAACCCCCACCCCTACCCCATCAAATTGTATGACCCTATCTATGATCAACCCTCTTTACCTTTCTTCCCTCCGCCCCCTTTTCTTGCTCCTTTTGTCTGAGCACTTTGGTTTTTTTGTATAGTTGACTCTGGTGATGATATTTCAGGGGTTTTTTGATAGCAGACTGATTATTTTGTTGTTGTTTTTTAAACTGATACCGACAACTTTCATCACTTTTTTGTTAGTTGTCTGCCAACTGTAAGTTCCTATTGAAATAAGATGGTCTGACCACCGCTGGCTTCTGGGCAGCAGATACTCGCTGGGTACCCTATATGTGCTCTTCAGCTGTGCTGGAAGCTTCCTTCCTCTTCAAGTCCTACACAGCCAATCTCTCCCGGGGCTTGCTTTCTTTGAAGAGGCAGGCCTGCATATGACTTAGCCATTTATTTTGGCTACTCTTTGTTGCTCTTTTATATTTTTCTATCCTGACCCTTCTTCAAGATGGAATCTCGCAGATATTATACAGGGGCCAGAAGAGGTAATTTTCTCTGAAGCCTTTGGCTTTCCCGAAGAGTGCCAGGTGAAGGCTGATTCAGGGGCTCAGTGGTTAGAAGTGATCCCGGAAGGAGCACCAGTGTGCAGAGGGCAGGCTGCTGGCCCATCCCCTGCACCCAGCTCAGCCTGACCCCATGGGGTCCCCACCACATGCCCAAAGAGTGACCTGAGCCAACAGCTAACGGGACACCTGGAGGCGCATAGCAAGCCGCAGGACTATGGAGCTGGCCACAAAGCTGCCTCTACGACCACCATATCCCCTGGACATGCCACCAGTCTCTGGTCCTCTGTACATGTCCAAGCTTCAGAAATAAGACTTCCTCTGGTCACTGTCTCAGCCAGGTCACCGTGAATGGGGCCACCTCAGGACAGAACTCCATGGAGACCTCTCAGCTGTCCAGGCAGCATGGAATCACTTCAGGCAGCCCCTCCAGGGAGCCTCTCAGCTGTCAGGGGTCACCTCCATGGGCCACCACAGAATGTGGGCACACTTCAGAACATGTACCTCCAGGGGCTTCTCAGACCTGTTAGGAGGTCACCTCCATGGGGACTTAGCTGACAGGGGTCACCTCCATAGGGACCACCGCAGAACACCTCAAGGGCTTTCTCAGCTGTCAGGCAGGCATCACCTCTATGGGGATACTTAAGGATATTACTGCTGGGTCTTTGTTACAAACTGTCAGGGGTACATCCACAGGGCTACCTTAGAACACCTCCAGGGAGGCCTCTCAGCTGTCCAGGTCACCTCTACATGGTTAACTCTGAACACCTCCATGGGGGGCCCTCAGGTGAACCTCAGGGTTCACCTCCACGAGGCCGCCACCATCAAACCTCCTGAGTTTTCTCAGCTGTTGGGGACCACTTCCTTGAGGCTACCTCAAAACACCTCCGTGAAGCATTCTCAGCTGTTAGGGGTCTCCTTCATGGGGTTACCTAAGAACTACACTTCCAGGTGATTTCTCAGCTGTCAGTGATCACCTCCATGGGGGCCTATCAGCTGTCATGTGTCACCTCCATCCACAGGGTCACCTCAGAACACCATCTCCAGGGAGCCTCCAGCTGTGAGGGTCATCTCCTTGGGGCCACCTCTCAACACCTCCTCCAGACAGCTTCTCAGAGCTGTCAGGGTTCACCTCCACGGGGCCCAGACCACCACCTCCAGGGGGCATCTCACATTCCAGAGGGATGAGCTATGTGTGTGAGGAACAGAGGGCTCAGGTGAGGGAGAGGGCCAAGCAGACACTTGGTTCTAAGCACGGTGGGCAGGGAGGGGATGTTAGGCTAGGTGGGGGTGGGGGTGGGGATGGGCCAAGAGTTGTGGGCTGGCTGGAGGAGAAGTGGTGGGTCAGGGTGGTGGACTGGGGTGGATACATGGGCTGGGGGTCATGGTTGTAATTTATGGCCTAATTGTGCATATCTATGGGTGACAGCCCAGAGGGGAAGAACTGCTTCCTTGGAAGCCTTCAAATCATGTGTCTCCAGTCTCTGGAGTAGCTGATTGGATCCAGAACCTTAGATCAGAATTTGGAATGAACTGAGGAATGAATGGAAGCAAGTGGAAACATTCTGATGTTTTAATAAAAAAATGGGGGTTCAGGGAGGGAGGGTTCTGGAAGCCGGGGGAATGGGCAGCCTGATGTCCTGCCAGCTCCCAGAGCTCTGCTCATCATCCTCCAGAACGGTGTACTTGCTGGAAGTCACTCCAGGGTTCCACCTGCACCTGAGAGCTTGGCTCCATTTCTGTGGTCTGAGGGTCTCCTGTGTCCAGCCAGTTCCAGGGTCTGCTGGCCCAGGTACTGGTGACAATAAGATGGGTATGCCTGCCCGTGCCCCCCTGGGAGACGGGGACACTTGCCAGACAGGACTAGGAACAGGAGTATCCATGGGGCATGGTGTTCAGAATGGAGAAGCCCCGATAGCTACAAAGGGGGACAGCTACCAGGAGCTGAAGTCCCCAAAGCCCCAGCTGGGCCTCTTCTTGGTCGAGGAGGTAGCTGTGCTGGTGGATGGCTCATCTTCTGAGGCCCGCTTCCTGTGAGGACAAGAGAAATCGCACAAGGTCCCTGGCTGGACACCACACCTGTCCCCAGCCCCACCCGGGACACCACCTCTCCCCTAACCCCACTTAATATCACATCTGTCCCCAACTCTACCTGACACCAGATCTGTCCTCGCTTCTGCTCTCCAAGCTTGACATCCAGCTCAGTCCCTTGGTCTGACCCGACCCACCCCCAGCTTTATGGGTACAGCACTCCTGCCTACAGGGGACCCTCCCCAGCTCAGATCGGATGCAATGTCTTCCCATGATAGGGTCAGAGCCATGGGGGCAGGCATGCTGGTGGGGGCACTCACGTGACTGCTCGGCTAATGTACTTGCCCACCCCCTGGCGATATGCTTGAGGTCCTGGGCTCCTTTGTTGGGGTTGGCTCATCTTCCCATTGGTTTCCAGGGCTGCCTCCTTTTGCTGTGTCTTCTTCCGTTCCTCAGCAATCTGCTGGCAGCAGGACAATGGTAAGGCCAAGCTCCAGAGCTGAGCAGTAACTCTCAGAACCCAGACCCACAAGTATGCCTACCTCACTCCCACCCCCATAGAGGATATGAACTTGCTTGTCATGTTTTGAGTCACAGCACACCCAGAGCTGATGCTCCAGTGAGTTTTCAGAGGCAATGAATCATATGGGAAGAAAATGCCCATCCTTCTCCCACACAGCAGCTGTTGGATTGTGCCTTCAGGACTTCAGAGTAGTTTCTTACCACTAGGCCACCAGAACTCCCTACACATATGCATGCTTGCTGCACAAGAGGAGGTAGCTCAGTGTGGTCCCCGGAAGGGGCAGCTGGTGCCTCTCACCTGAGCATCTGCTTCTTCATAGGGGTCCACAAACACCACAGTGGACTGTATGCAGATCTCTTCCTGGGACAGCAGGAGAGAGAAAGTAAGGGGAGAGGGAGAGGGGAAGGAGACAGTAGGAAGGGGGAGAGGGAGAGGGAAATGTCAGCAGGGCTAACAGATAGCAGGCTCCTCGACAGATCTCAGCTTTCCCCAGGCACATACCTTAGGGCGGTCAGTTTTGGGGTCACTCTCCACATTCTCCATGGCTGTTAGTGTATCAAAGCCCCCAACGACCCTGCGGGAGGGAGGGAGGGGGTGGAAGCCAGATCAGCACCTGCACTCATGGCACCCCAAGGAGCCAGGGCCAGGGCAGGCAGCACAGCAGCCCACCATCAGCAGCTGGGCAAAAAGCAAGGGGAGCAGGGTGCTAGTAAACAGGGCAGGGGCCAAGTGTGAACCCTGTGCTTCTGTAAATGTTTTGTATTTGTAGGTAAAATCTTCTCTGTTTAAACACTGCCTGTGGCTACTTTGGGAAACAACAGCAGTGTTACCTGGCTGTGGCAGAGATTGATGATAAAACCATGCCAATGCCTGAACTAGATGAAAAGGACAGGGGGTCCTGCGAGGGGAGGCTGGCTGGCTAACTGGAGTAATTTTCCAAAAGAGTTGAAATGAGCCAGCCTTCCTCAGGTCGAAGGTCTCAGCCCCTTCACGTAACAAAGCCTGTGGTCACCAGCACAGAGGGTCTCGGAGCTTCCTGCCTGCTGCCACCCAGAACACAGTACATACTCTTACCGCCCAAAGATGGTGTGCTTCTTGTCAAGGTAGGCACAGGATCGGAAGGTGATGAAGCTGAGGAGAGGAGATGAGAGTGAGAAGCACAGGGTAACCGTCCAACCTGGCGGGGTCCTCCCACACCCTAGAGCAGTAACCAGGGACCAGGAAGAGGCCTGGTGTGGCCCCAAGGGGAGCAGAAACGGGAGATCCCTCGTGTCCAGCTGCTCTTGCTCCTGGCCAGGACCCACCTGCTGCCCAGACTGAGGGTCGAGTTGTGCAAAATAAACTGACCTAGAAAGTGGAGCTGCAAAGTAAGGAATCATGATAGACAGGAGACAGGACCAGAGGTTCCAAAGGCTAGTGCTGAGAAGTTCTAACAGCCAAAGCCAAAATAATTTAAACTCCAGGCAACCACAGGATGAGGGCCAGCCCCAGCTGCAGTGCAGACAATAAAACTCTTAAGCTGTAAGACTAGACAGAGCAGTATGCCAACACAGTGTCCACCCACAGTGTGGCCAGTAGGTTGAAAAGCAGAGCAAGCTGAAGCTGGACTGCTGGGACTCAGAGCAGGAAGTGAGAGCCTGCCTATGTTTCCAAACCAGAAACTTCAACAGCTACACAGCCAGATCCACAAACTCAAGAAGAAAAACTCAGTGGGAGATGTCACAAGAGCACTAGAAGACCTAGCAAACTCTCCTCAAAAAACAGGCCCCAAAACAAATGTTTTCAAGGGACCAAGTGCTGCCTCCCTGACCCAGGGTGACCCCGGACATGCCCAGAACACAGGAGAGGCCAGAGGATACCATCTCGCCAAGGTGCTGGACTCTAGAGAACATGATCTAGAATTCTCATTGGACTTCCTACAAATCGGAGCTTGGGTGGGATAGTGCTAAGCAGCTGCACTGCCAACCCAAAGGCATGGGGTTTGAATCCACCAGCTTCTTTATGGGAGAAAGATGGGCAGCCTCCTCTTGTGCGATTAATTGTCTCTGAAAACCTGCTGGAGGGTCAGCTATGAGTCAGCTGCAACTTGACAGTACACAACAACTAATTTAGAACTTTACTGAAAACTATCTGAATTATGAGAGAATTTGATAACGGGCTAGATGGCATAAGCTATAACCATTTAGACCTGGAAATGTGGGGGACTCTTTTATAACAATATCCCAAAACCTTAAGAAGCAGCTTTATCTTGGAAAGCACAGAACCTACAGGAAAGCAAAGGACCTACGTGCAGAAAGTATAAAATCACATTAGATGCAAAATCATGCAAAGAGACAGTCCTGACCTCAAAACTGAAGGTGTAATACACACATTAGTAGACATTCCAGATTATAGACAGGTATGAACCCATTATGGCAATTATGGCAAGGCCATAATTCAATGAAGAAGATGAGTTATTCTATAAACATGCTAATACAAATGACTATTCATTTGGAAGAAAGAAACCCTCTCTGTTAACATCATTTTAAAAAATAACCTATAAAGACAGAATATCAGTTTGAAGTGTTTCAAGAAATAGAAGCAGCCCTGAAGTGCTCACCATTCTGGTCACCATGGCAACTGGTCTCATCACCAGACTGTATTCTGGTAATCATGGCAACAAGGCTTGTCACCATGGCAATGATACTGGTCACCATGGTACTACTGATAACCAAGGCAACCATTCTGGGCACCATTCTGGTAACTGTGGCTACCGGACCATGAAAACTTTTCTTTGAGCTTGGCAAACACTCTCATCACCATGCAAGCATTCTGGTCACCGTGGCAATCTTTCCTATCACAATCACAATCATTCTGGTAAGCACGGCAAGTAGTCTCATCACCATCACCATGGAAACTAGTCTAATCACAGTGGCAACCATTCTCATCACTATGGGACCTTTCTTTGGCTATGGCAGCCATTCTGGTCACCATGGAAACCATTCTAGTCACCATAGCACCTGGTCTGGACACCATGGAAATGAGGCTGATCACCATGGGAAAAACTGTGGTCACCATTGCAACTGGTCTTACCATGGCAACTGGTCTGGGTACCGTGGAAACCTAGTCATCACTTATGGCTACTACTCTGGTAAACATGGAAACCAGTTTGGTCACCATATAAACTATTCTAGTAACCATTGCCATCAGTCTTGTTACCACAGCAACCATTTCTGGTAACGATGAGAGCCATTCTCGTCACCATGGCAATACATTTTGGCAACCATTCTGGTCACCATAGCAGCCAGTCCCACCACCATGGCAACAATCCTGGTCACCATGGGAACTGTTCTTTCTCATCAACTGGTCTTATCACTTTGGCAACTAGTTTGGTCACAATGGCAACCACTATGGTAACCAAGGCAACCAGTCTGTTTGTTATGGTAACCATTTGGTATCATCAAGAAAACAAAAATCCTTACTACTGGACCAATAAGAAACTTAATGATAGATGGAGAAAAGTTTGAAATTATCAACAATTTCATTTTACTTGGACCCACAATCAATACCCATGGTAGCAACAGTCAGGAAATCAAAAGATGTGTTGCTCTGGGGAAATGTGCTGTTAAGGACCTCTCCAAAGTGCTAAAGAACAATAAAGTCAATTTAAAGACCTAAGGGGCACTTAATCCAAGCCTTGGTATTTTCAATTGCTTCCTCTGCATCTGAAAGTTAGAATTTGAATTGTTATAATGGCAAAGAATCACTGAATATACTGTGTTGTTGTTGTTGTTATGTGCCGTCGAGTTGTTTCCGACTCATAGCGACCCTATCCGCACCGCCTCTGACACACCCA